GTTTTGATGGTCAAGCATGAGAAGGAAGCTTGTCTTCTGAAATTTTGCTTAAATTACTGTGAATCAGCAGGTGAAAAATGTTAGGGCAAGAAAGTGAAATAACGTGCGGTATTCAATAACTGAGGTACTTATGGTAGTATAACAAGCTTAAATCCGAATACAAAAAGTGGTAAGGTGCATCTGCGTGTTTGATATGTGCGTTGGGTATGTAGATAAAGTGTGTGGGTAAGGCATATGTGGAAGAGATATGAGTGAGGTAAATGTCTATTAGCCCGCATACAGAATAAGGTATGTGTGTTAGGTAATGTATATAGGTAGGTGAGTTAGGTAAGATATGTGGTGGATAAAGTAAGTGTTAGGTAAGGGATATGTGTTAGGAGTAAGTGTGCTACGTGAAAAATATGATTTAGGTAAGGAATATGAGTAAAGATATGTGTCAGGAAGTAAGATATATGTATTAGAAAAATATGAGTTACGTAAGAAGTATAAGGTAAGGTATATGTGTTGCAATGTGTTGGATGAGGTATATGTGTTGTAATGTATTGAATGAGATATATGTATTAGGTAAGGTATGTGCATTGGGTAGATTATATGTGTTGAGTAAGACACATGTGTTAAGTAAGGAATGAGTTAAGTAAGGTACATGTGTTAGGAGTAAGGCAAAGGGTTAGAAGGTATACGTGTTGTAAAAAGAATGTTAGTTAGGTAAGGAATATAAGTAAAGATATACGTGTTAGGTAAAGTATATCTGTTGGATAAGGAATATATATTAGACAAGGTATATGTAGGTAAGATACATGTGTTAGGTAAGCAATGTGTGTTAGGTAAGAAATATATTTAGGTAAGGTGTAAGTGTTGGCTAGGAAATATGAGTTAGCAACTAAAAACTTTTGATTAACTAGGTCTAATTAGTTACTCACACATATATATTCCAAATCAACTGTAATTGTCCTTTAGTAATAGTGAATAATATTGTATTGAATGTTCCAAATATTCTATTAGTGAAGTCAGCCCTAATTTAGAGACAACAGGAAATTCTCATTTAATTCTGAAATTATGTTCGTATACAACTGTATTTTATTGCTGAGCACTGAGCAAATAGAAACTCCAAATAAGAACCTCCAAGTAAAAACACTATAGCATAATGATGATCAAATCTAAATAATAAATGATCTAGAAATATACAAGTGACCCGCGACTTACTTAAATAGATACCAATACTACAGAACCTTTGTAATTATATTGAATGAAATGGCACAGCAAAATATTTCATCTGGAGAGATCGTTGACGACTTTTCACTCAAAATTATAAGCGGCCTCACCTGCAAGAAAAATTACAATTTAATGTACTGTACAACGGATCATAAAGTTCTTTTTTTTGTTTCTGTATCAGACTTATTCCTTTTAATGAGAAGATTAATTTGAAAAACGCTTCCAAATTATACTTTATGAGCTCCTTCACAACGAAACAGCAGTTGAAAATCAGCGTGAAATGTTTCTCGTATTATCACACGTTTTGCACCCTCATTATTTAAATTAACTACTGGTTGTGGTGCATAATCATTTTCGACTGAAACAGCATCTACAGTTAACACATTTCGCTCTTCATCTGCTTCTTCTTCCTGAATTCAATTCAGTTCTATACGTACTTCAATGATTAATCTTGATTTAAAAAATAGGTCATGATGAATTAAGAGAAAAAATATATATATTCAGCTTTTCACCAAGGATAGTAGTGAAAAGCTGAAAAGAAAAATAAATTAAAAAATACTTGGACTAATTGAAATGGAATACTTTCTCTATTCAGTACAATCATATTATCCTGACTTTTGATATAGGAACCGTTTTGTGAATCACGATAGCACTGAAGCTGTAGTGATCCATCAAAAGAGCGTGCATCTGAAATTAAAATAATATATTTTTATTTTATAAATAACAAAATTCCATGCGAGAACTACGTTGAAAAACCGCAAGCTATTATCATAAATTGGATTTAATTATTTTTGATACTATTTTGGATCTGCTAATATCTAAAACGTATAACTCAGCAAAACAAAACAGAAGTTGAGTGGACTAATTTAACACTAATTTAAGGATTACCATTTGTAGGAGTAAGGAAAGTCAAACTCAGCTCGGCTATTTCACCTATACCAAGAGTGACCTCATCTTCACTTAAATATGGTATTCCATTGACACTGACATCTAAACTCAAAAATTTCATTAAGTCCATTTGTTTTCAACTAATCTGTTTCTGAAATCCAATATAGATAAGACACATTTTTATTACACATGATTCAAATTTATTGTCAAATGACAATATCGGCTAATTAACAATTTTAACAGAAAATTTTGTATAATAATAATCAGCTCAAAATATAATTATTATCATTTTCTGTTAAATATATGCGGTGCATTTTACGCATTCCAAGATGATCAAAAACATATCAAAATAATCATTAATAAGTCAAAAACAGAATGTCTTAAGTTCAGGAATGAAAACGTACGAACTGAAATGATCGGTATAACAAGCTGTTTCAGCAGTGATACAGAAGAGAGCAAAGGTCCGACAGGTACTGATCCAGAAAGACCTGAACTTGAAATGGACCAGCGAATATCCAAATGCCAAGACACATGACGTTCTAAAATTCTTCGCAAACGCTCCATCTCTTGCATTTGCATCATATGAGATGCACGACTAGCTGCTTCTTGAAATGCATTTGATGCTACTTCAGAACAGCATTCACATAGTAGTGGTACCCTAATGAAGTAAATGTTGAAAAAGTACCATAATTTCAAAATAAATAAAAAATTTTCACACAATTTTGCTTTTATAGTCATCTATTTTTAAACAAAAATATGTAAATTTGTTCTTACTTGAGGCACAAAGGAAAGTTTAGTAAAAACGTAAATAAGCTTCATATTTTATTTGGAGAATTACTTTTATAGAATATCACCAATAATGATTAAGCTGATAAGAAATGTAACTTTTCTGTTTTTGAAGCTTAGTTAAAATTTATTAATGATGAAACAAAATAATACCTGCAAAATTCTTTCGGTTGAACGTTAATTACTCTTTCTTTTCCATATGTCAATTCAGCATCCCACTCAGTATTATTTGTCACATCCACTACCACATATCTCGTTGTTGGTCCATCACCTGGTAATACATGCCAAGCAGAAACTGTTACCGCGGGAACGATCGATACTGCCAGAGGTAAACGACATCGTCTTTCATAGTGCTAAAATCATCAAGGATACTGAATTTTTTTTCGCATTTCATTTTCATGCACTTTCTTCCCCAGCTTATTAACAATTCCTGCATTGCTTTGAAATTAATTCTAATAACTTTGTCATTTCTTTGAAAAAATTTTTAGTCACTCACTATTTAACAACTACATACAAATTTCTTCGAAATACAGGATTTCTTAATTACTGACTACTCTTACAGATATAAATGACATTTAATTAATTCGAATACTACATACATTTAAAAATCCTACAATGAAGAAAAAAATTAGCTTACTTCTCCGTTAGGCCCATCAATATCGGCTTGATAATAAAATACGAATTCACAAGTCAAAAGTCTCTAAAATAAGAACTATCTTATAGAAAAATACTGAACCAGAATTCATCTCGCAAAATAAAAAGGATCACCAATTTGAAAGTAATTGAAAGGTAAAATCTTTCAACCAAATTTTCGCGACAAGGATATATCATTTCAGCTCCGATTATGTACCGGTGCTGCCTTTTTCACAAATATGACGATTAAAACTTAAACAAAAATATCATAACAAACTCCAGTAAATGGTATTCGATCGTGCGTTTCTTCAGCAGATGAAGTCTCTTCACTCATGAACATCATCTCATTGTTGCTTTCTTGCAAATAATCTTTCGCTGTTGCTGAGGGGTCTATTCCGAAAATTCTATGAAACATCGAAACAAAATTATCATAAAAAATAAAAATAAAGGATGTATTTTTAGATAACTTCACAAGCAAAATAATGTAAAATTAATGTCATTTCATTTATTTTTTAGGAAAAAAAAACAAATAAAAGTAAAGAAATGCGTTATACTGTAACTATCAAGCACTTTTGAAAATGCACCTGAATTTTATTTGTTTTCTTTCCAATGGTTCAATGCGTTTCAAACAACTACTGCTTTCATCATCCTCTAACCATTCAGCGTTCACAATTTCAATCATACAAGGACCACCACAAACCTTTAGACCTCATGATAGTAATCCCGAAAAGTCCAAAAAATTTTAAGTATTGGAAATTACTTACATAAGTTGAACTGCTCGTTTAAATTTATGCTTTTCTTTCAAAAATAATAACAACTCGTTCAAGTGCCAAAATTGTTTTATACACGTTTTTACTCAATTATTGCCATAAGGTAGTTTTTTAGTAGTAATTTTTTAATTAACAGCTGATTTAGAGCGGTCAAGAGACTGGCTGATTGCTGAATGTTTTTTCTTTTGAATAACTAAACTAATTGCAATCAAATAACAAAAATAATGCTTATTTTTTGAATTTTCGAAATCAATAAACTACTACTTGTCACACTATAGATTAGTAATGGAAAAGTGCATACCTTGGGCTGCTGAACAATTAGCTTGACATTTCGAACTGCTATATTTTCACTCGTATTGACTAATGATACACTATGTTCGAAACTAGAAAAAAAGCAATAAAACGAAAAGACAAAAGCAAAGAATCCAGCCTTCACATGCATAGCCATATGAATTCTTACATATAAATTTCACTAAGACGTTTCATTTAAGTTTCAATTAAGCATCTTTTTTTAAACAAATAAAGTTAACCATTCCCCTTACTCAAAGAAATTCTTTTCATTACAGAAATTTTTCATTAGGTTAAACAATGAAGATTTTAAAAACAACAATCAAATATGGCTTCTGTTGTGAAGTTAATTAAAAATAACGTTTGGCCGGAATAAACTGTTATTTCGGCAGTTGGTTCAATATCTTCTTCAGAGATGGGAGCACGGTTTAATGACGTTTCCAGCTCGAGAACAGGCAAAGCTGGCAGCACCTAAATTGAATATTCAGGATAATCGCTGTCATCAAATATGATTCACTTGCTTAACACTATGAAAATAATCATGATCTGACCCATATCTTATTAACTTGACAGAATTCGGTTACAGTACTGAAAATAAATCAACCTCAATATCAAACACAGAAGAATGATAAGCTTTTGACTTCATTCGCTGCGGCAAATCACGCAATCTGCAAACATTACGAACACCAAGGACTTCGCATGAATAACCAGTAATAGTGAGCCGTCCTGATTCTCTATAATAACAATAATAAAAAACCAAAATACAAGCAATGATGTGGGAAAGTTAACATTTTTATTTCATAGTAAATATGACTGCACCAGTATATTCTAAAACCACGAGAAAAATTAGTACAAAATACATCAGAGAGAACCTCGCTTAAACCGAAAAATTATTAATGTTAGTAGAAAAATATACAATTTTTAAAATAGTACAAATATATTAAACAAGTCTACCTAGGAACTCCGATAAGTTTGATATCTACAGACTCAGTATTAACATCAGAAGGAGCTAAAATAAGTCGCACTGGAATCGGCTCAAAAGCACATCCTTCAGAGAGCAAAGTTAAATTGAATACAGATAATTCAAAAGGTAGACAATTATTAACTGATACGGAAACCTCACAAGCGCAGTCCCGAATCCAGGTAACTGCAAACGATTCATTTAAAAAATGCTAAATTATTTTATATTAAATTGAAACATTTTATTGAAAAAATAAAAATTAAAAGACCTTTTGAAGCAACTTCACGTTGAAAAGGAGAATATATGAATATATCGGACTGGAGTTTAGGTCGAATAATTCTAGCAGCAAGATGCCCAGGAAGAGGGCAAATTGCAAACTTCCTGAAACTAGATTACTTTTAAACCTAACGATAACACTGAAATTATATACTTGAGAAACTGAAAAATAAAAATATTCCACAAAACATGATGAAATCTGTTAGCGAAAAGAATAAATTTACTGCAAATTAAAAACAAGAGCTTAGTACATAATTTAAAAGTAAAAAAGTCGGAATGCAAAGCAATACTCAAGCTTTGGAAAGCGCATCATTTGCACTGGCGGAATAATAAGATTATGTTGCGGCAATGAAATATGTTGATTAAGTTGGTGTTGGACACTACGAGATGCCACTAAATTTTTTAATTCATCAAACATTCGAGTAGATACTTCTTTATCCATAGAATCATAATATACCTTAAAACGATTCCATGAATTAAAAATCTACAGTCATTCAAAGAATATATTTTTGAGAACAAGATTCTAACATGGCAAAAAATAGAAATCAAAATATTATGATTCACCTGTAAAATATAACATACATGACGTATAGCAACATCATAATATTCAGCACGTAATGCGCTTATTAATACTTCACTCAGAGCTCTCCTTTGAATATGCACTGGTCCTAATTGCGTTAAATCACCCGAAAAATCCTTTGGGTTTTCTGGTAATCCATAACCGACCAATGTTCTATATAAAATAGGATATATTTGTCGATAGTCCGCAACAGTACGATCTTTATTATCTGCAGTATGTAAGCGGAACAAAACTGCTAAGCGGGCAAAGAATGCATATTTACGATTGAAACCAATCTAGAATAGTATTAAATATACTACACTATACTATTTCAAGTTCGAAAGTAATTGCTGACCAAGCATAACTACTTTGATCGTAAAGAATAACTGCGATTCAAGCAGTTAGAAACAAAGAAAGTTTTTCTCAGTCACTAAGTTGCTTTCTCAATACTTTAATGAAAGCAACAGAGGTTAATTCATAAAATATTAACAATTAAGTTTTGAAATGAAATGTACTATACAAGGTACGAACTTTACGATATACTTCTGCGGAATTGAGACATATGATTGCTTTTGTGAAATGATCAAATAAACTGAAGCCGACATCAAGATAGTTTGCAATTCGTTCTCTCATGAAATCCTACAAATCAAGAGCTTGAAAATTATTCAAATTATATATATATACATGTACATATAAGTATATATATATATATAAGTAAGCTTAAGATATATTTTGAATACATTCATCTTGACTGTCCTGCAAAGTTTTTCGTCAAGGAAGTTTAATTATTCAGCCTGTTTTTTGATAACAATAACTAACTTCCATCTCAACATATAATCTCTGATATCGGAAAACTGATGCAGCTTTCATCATGCATTCATATTCAATCCAAACTGCGAATGAAAATCTTTTATAACTTTCCAAAGCAGATTTGAATTTCTCAACAATCTCTGTATGACTGATTCCACACTTTCCTGACCTGCTGTAATGAGGAAATAAATCAATCGAAAGACATAGTTTTCAAGATTTGAACAAGAAATAGCAAATATAAAAGTTCCTGATGAACAAAATTTTTGCATCGACATTATATGCACCAAAATTAAACTCCCGAAGGATATTTATTTATTGCTAAATGAACTTGTTGAAATTCTTACTTAGTATGAGTAGGTTCATTCCATCGTAATCGAAAAGATCGACTTTGTTGTTCATTAGAAATCTGTGACTCAGCTGATGTAGAAGGAATTTTTAATGAGTACTGGTCATCTGATCGACGTCTATGATGGCCAACAGAAACACTGGAACAAGTTACAGTTATTTAAGTACGATTCAATCCTTTTGTTCCATATTATTCGATTGAAATAATGCATCAAAAACTAATGTCTTCTGGATCTGCTTCATCCAAAAGCTCTTACTAACATTTAAAGCTATATCTGAAATTATAAACCTTTTAGATTGTACTTTCAGAAAAGAAATGACATTTTACCCGGTACCGTGTTGGTTTGGTACATGAGACGAATAAATTAGTTCGGGTTTCAGTGATAAAAATCGCTGCATCCCACTAAACGACGAATATTCCTTTGTTAAATCATACTTTACTGCCATTGCTGCACATGACCAACCTTCATAAGCAGCTGAAATAAAATCTTGATATATTTTGTTCGCTGGCTATCAAAACTTTATTATGCAAAAGAAATTTCTAAAGTTAATCGTTCAACAAAATTTATTGAACGATTGATGCTAAAATTTGAAGTGACTTTAACAACATAATTTATCTATCTTACCACCTACTTATCTTTACAAAATGCTTACGGTACTATTAATGCAATACAATAAGAAAAACATTAGGCTTTTTTATTGTCAATATTTGAATTTATTATGCATTTTTAACTGTCGTACCAGCAAGCCAGAGCAAATCATTAGCTTGTTTAAGACATTCGATTGCTGACTGGTAAGAATCCATTGCAAGAGTCGGTAAACCAGTTAAAAGTGTGTAATCAGCAACCTGCTTTCGAAGACGACCGATGCATTTTTTTCTGCATATAAACTTATAGGTAAAAATTATTTTTCAAAACTTAAGGCTACATAGGTTCGTGCATGATCAGGAACTGACAGTTTATAGCAATAAATCATTTTAGAAAAATATCTTGATAGAAAATAACAAAATTTAAAGATGCATTCCTCTGAGTTTTCAAATGAAAGTTTATAGAAAATAATATGAGGTTTACAGAGACGCAAAAGCAAAGCAGGAGAAGTTTGCATGTAAGCAATTCGTACAAGAAATAAAATAAAATTAACCTGTAAATCTTGCTATTTTTATTTTCCAAACCTTGACGATATTTCTGCTCATCAATAAGACTGGGACATGATGGGCATTCCAATTTTTCAAAAGAAAGATCAAGTCGTCGGCTTTCCAAAACATAATAAATGGAACGTAAGAAATCTCGTATACCTACTTCCAAAGCATCAGCGCTATCGAGAGTTTTAAAGCAGAATAATTCTCTAGAAGAACAGAATCCTTCTAGTGCTTCCTAAGAATAAAATTTATTACCATAAAATATCAAAATAACCTTTGGAGTTTCTTAACTCAGAAAGGCCGAATGTCAATCACCATTTTATATTGTTTTCTGATGTTTCAAAAAGCTAAAATGGATAAACAGAAAAATTAGAATCATTTACAAATTTAGACTTTTCATAAAGTTCCCATCATTAAAGATTCTAAGATGACTAAATCTTGTATTATGTGAGTTTTAATAACAATAACCACAATGAGCAAAACAAACTTTCGGGTATCCAATAGCAATGCACCGTGAATCGACAAGTGTTGAAGTATATTCAGCCTATAATTACATTAACGATACCAGAGTTTAAAAATTCGAAAGAATTTTATAATAATTTGATTTCCTAAAGACTAATTGATCTTTGAATATGTTCTTCACACTTTTAAATTTCTGATGTGAAATCTAGCTGCGAAGCAATTATTTCAACAATAGAATATACCTTTGCAACTTCGTATTGTTGCTTAATCTTTTCAAGATTAAGTAACGCTGAACTTGAAAGGCCATAATGCTCTTTAAAATCACTAGAATCAAGTAGCTGCTCTGATTCTTGTGGCGCCTGAATCACACCTATGAAAGCAATAATACGTCGATGAGCCTAAAATAATAAAGACTTAAAAGTTCATTTCTTACAGAACTCGGAACCATGCACATTTTAAGTAAATTTTTGCAAGATATCAGAAAATAATTCCCATCAAGATGTTAGGGAATGCGATGCGGAAACTCTTGAATGATATGATGATAATTATAAAATTAAAAAAAGACAAATTTCACTAAATTGTGATACTAAAACTATTTACCTGCAGGTCACCGAATTTGATCAAATTTGCATTAGTTGTAGACGTAAAATTGGCACTAAAAATTCTTTTTGGATTGTCTGATACTGAAAAAAGAGACGAAAAAATTCTATGATGATTGAGAATTAAAAAATATGCCAACAAAAAGAGATATTTCAGTTTTTAAGCTGCAACTTTTGTACTCAAAAAACATTAATACTAAACAAAAAGAATCAAATAACTTCACAAATCTTTTAATAAATTCAATGCGATGTATTTCGCAAACATAATCAACTTTTTGGTGCAAAGAAGTCTCAAATTACAATTCAACAGTGATACGTTAAAATTGATCAAAAACGTTTTATTTGTATCACTATGAATCAAATAGATTTCACATTACTTCATTCTGATTTCAAAAATTTTCATTTTACCACTTGAATTTTAAATCAACAGTTTTACTCCCACAAAACTTTGCTATATTGATAAATGCATGAACTAGTTTAACTTACTTATAAATGAAATTCGAAGTAAATATATAAGAAATACGACACCAAGCGCTAATTCAAATATGTTATAATAATTGACTGAAGCAGATACTTTCAAAAATAATCATTCTCTAATAAAAAAAAACTACCCTGCAGATGTTGTACTCGTTGCAATCGTTCAAGAAGGCAATTAAACACAACAGATGATCGATGACCAAACTGCTTCACGAGAATTATCACTCGGCAGTGCTCTCCCACCTCTGGCACTGATGCTTCTAATGTTGTAGTTGTTCCCATGATATCAAAAACTCAGCTCGACAACCATATTCATGCGTTACATTACTTATTAGCGTTTCAAATTCCTCTTCAAATATTAACCATTTATCATAACACCAACCAATCTCACAAAATTGAACTCCCTTCCACCCAAATCTAGATTTAGTCCCCTTTTTTCGGTTCTATCCTGATGCCCAGCTAATCTTCTGATGATTTTATCAATGTCTATAAAATAAAAAAGAATCTACTTCGAACCAATATACGATTTTAACTAGCAAAATTATTCATGACCGTAAGAAATTTTTATTTACGAAAATTTAAACATTAATTTTAATCACTAACGAAATTAATATTCATTCACTTTAGCAAAAAAAACAAAACCATTTCAAGAAGAAACCTTTTAAAAAGTACATCACGTTTTATAATACTTCAATGAGAGTATTTGGAGCATTGCAAATGAAAATCCTCATAAGAAAACTTAAAGCCAACAAAAACATATTTTGCATCATCAATTCATATTCTTTACCAGGCACATTTGGTTTCAAATGATTTTGCAAACAACATTTGCACAAATTCAAGAAATGAACAAGAGAGAATGAAACGTGCAAATTTTCAAGATAGTGCCCGGAATAATGAGAAGTAAAATATGTCACAGCAAATTCAAGAAAACTTTTTTGACTGTCATTTCCATCAGAAGAGCATTAAAGAAGATTCATCATTTTATATCCAACATTCCTATGACTAGAATAATCAGATAACAATGCAATTCCAAAATGCGAGCTAATTTGGAATCTAGGTAAAAAAATTAATGCTACCTAGAATCTTTAAAATTCACAAAAAATTTGAAATAAAATGTATATCTAAGAAATGACCTGTATAAATTTAATAGTGATCTAAATACAATAAGTTTAAAAATTGACTACTAACACCTAAAAAGAACAGACGCATGGACTGAACATAAATAAAATTTGTGACAACCATATATGTCAAGCAGCTCATGACCTGGACTACCAAGCTTCCTTAACAAATATATGACAACTTTTTTTGCACAGAAAAATTAGTGTAAATAAAATACTACATTAATTTTAAATTATGAGACTTAAATAAAAGTAGTGCTTTGAATAACGAATAACTAAACTCTTGTCATACAACTTTAAAACCAAATGATTACGTCCAATGTAATAAAAACTAGTCTTAGTAGTTTATTTCGGAATATAATATGACATAAAATAAATATTTCTGCAACATATAGCACAAATTTCTGCGGTTGCATGAGAAACTAGATATTTGAGCATACTCTGAAATAATTAAATACCAAAATATATTTAACACGTAGTATAAGAAGAAAATTTCAACACTTTATCAAACAACATACTCCCGTACTATCCTTAACAGTCACATATACACCTGCTATAATAAAGCAAAAGATGTACAAACAGAACGTTCACGCAAATCAACACTTGTTATGGGCTCCTTGTCAAAACCTAATCTTCGCTTTCATGAACTGCTCGTCTCTAAATCAGATTTTGAACCTTCTGATGCCAGTAATAGCGCATAGGTTGAATAATTTTTGTTGCCTAAAAAACATTCAGTATGTCGGTTAATATAAATTAAACGGCATTTTATTCAAATGTCACATATAATATTTATTAAATAAATAATCCTACATGTAATATTAAGGAAGACAGAAATTAAACTGATATTGAAATGACTTGAAATTTGTTACAAAATTAGCTTTGGATGTTTTGTATGGAAATAGTCTCCAAAAATATATATCAACCGTACTAGAGCGTACCAAGTAAAGCTACTTTTTTATCAAATTTTTAATGATAAATAATTTGATGCTAGGTATCCTTAAATAATTTTTTTACTACCTGGTAAATTATTTTACGCCCCATTTGATTAGTGAAAAAAAGAGATACTGACATACTATTCATTACTTAAGCATTTAAGTACTTTTTTAAAAATAGCAAAAGCTGATATTGGCATAAAAGAAAAAGACATTTTACCTTTACTATGCCCATTAGCGTTTGTTTCAGTTTTTCTTTTGCCGTTATTTACCAAGGTTTTACGTAAACGTCTTTTTTTTCGACGGTAAGTTTTCCCTATGATTATAATGAATTATCTTCTTGTAAAAACATAAAAAACAGATGTTACAGTGATGAAATGGACTATTCATATTACAAGTATATATAGTATTACAAGAATGTGACACAAATATAGTCTTTGAGATCAGTAAAATTATTAGATTATGAAAGATAGCAACAACCTTCCCAAAATTTACATATTTCATGAACAAGATTAAAAGTTAGGCAAAAAAACATACTTGCACAGGAACTTTGATGTGAAAAATAGATATTTTTCCGAAGTGTCAGTAGTATGATAAGCAAAATAAACAATAACGATAGTAAAACAAAATACAATACCGACCAGGCTGAAATCAAAAATGCATTCTATTAGTAGCAGTCACTTCTATGAAATAAGAATCTATGAGGGCACTAAAGAGTTTAATATATTTCACTTTTTTTGATTTATAAAAAAAATTTTTGATCATTAACCATCGAGAGCATTGAAACGTTGGTTATCTGTACTGAAAAAAGGTGAAGTATTCGTGTAACCACATATAAAATCATTTTTTCAATAAGCTTAGTTCATGAAACAGACCACAATCTGCTCTTGAACCAGAAATAATGTATGATAGTAGACTTGGCATCCAATACATATTACAATCACATTCTTTTGTATGATTGTTGCATACACCATGGCCAGAGCAATTTTGAGTACAATCTGAGATAAATGATTAATTATATTCAGTTCTTTACTTTTAGCATGAGTTTGAATGAAAAGTGAGACCACATGATTTGATTGACTGCATTACATAAAAAGCTAGTTTTAAAAGCAATTAGATAATATGTTACTCATATGCACAAATTTAAAGATTCACAGAGTGAAATGGAAACTTACACAAACTGTCTACAGAATCGATTTTGAATTCTGCTATCATGTTAGTTTCTGATCGTAGAATTTTTACAACTTTCCATGCTTCCACGACTGCGACTTCCTTTTTTTGTTGTGAAACATCTTTTACTTCTCCTTCTGAAAATTGATTACACACAGTGTTTAATTTGGGAGAAATTAATAAAAACATGTAATCAAATTTCAAAACCGAATTTTTATAGATAAACTTTCAAAAGTTCAAAGAGTATACCAGAAAATATCATTCTTGCTTTAACAAGCTAAACAAAAATTGTTAAAAGACTTACGAACTGCAACATCGGTGAAATCAGCGCGGAACACAATGTGTATTCGACCCGTGCTTGGATCTTCATCAATGATCGAAAACACAACTGCCACACTGCTTGCCTCAGTAATCTATAACATAGTTTAATTTCAGAATATTAATAAAAAATTCGAATATAAGCTGGTGCTGGATTTTATCAGTTTTTCTTGAAACAGTATTGATAAAATACTTTTCAAAAACAAGAGTTAAACTGCTGCTTATCAGCATAAACATACGTAAAAACTGAAAAAAAATTATTCGCTGACATTAACCATAAAAAACATTCTATTCAAATTACGTACATGAGAAGAAAGAGTTGCACTGAGGCGTTCTTCGAGCTTATTTTTCATTCGGTAAGTGAATTCCCTCATTTTTTTCCTCAAATACATTTCTACTGACTGAAGATGAGGAACACCTATAAGGAATCAATCCCCAAACAAAATCTAATCCCGATTACAAAGTTTCGTTGATGTTTGAGAATGATAAAGAATTTGAATATATATTTGTTTAGGTAGCAATCAGTAAAGCAGCACCATGAGTTGTAAATAGACCCGTGAAAAAAAAAAAGAGAGTCAGATTAATTCAGAAAGTTCAACGTAAACAGTTTGTAGAACAATGACAAAATAGGCCTACCCATTAAAGCAGTTACTGAAATTGTGCTGGAGTTCACAGCTTCAGAACTGTCAAAAACAGTTAGATCGAAGAGAAACGTGCCTTCAACTAAGCCAGTCAACATTGCTACTGGTTTCTTTTCAGAATTACTTAAGAATCTCTAAAATGAGAAGGACTAATTTATGAATTCAAATAAGTGTGAATCGACATTTCAATGATTTGACAATCTTAAATTTATATAGTCAGGAAAAATCACAATTTTACATACAATACAAGCAGGAACATCATCATGTGGAGTCCAAAGCCATCGAACTATTCCTGCATCATCTGAGGATTCACTACCATTCAAAAAGACTAAATCTGTTGGTATAACAACCTTAACATCTTTTGCTCTCGCTACTGGTGGCTGATTTTTGCCTGTAATTCTTACATCATTTTTGAACATTTACAGTTTCTAATGGATAATTTTGATTTTGAATTCAAAAATTATTTCCTATTCAAACAGATTTTGAATTCAAAAATTATTTCCTATTCAAACAGATTTTGAATTCAAAAATTATTTCCTATTCACTAAACTAAAACACAGATCATCAGATTTACTGTTTGAACAGTAATTATTGCAAACCACAATATATGATTACAAAAATAAATACATTTTGGAAAATTCCCAGTCACCTTTTAATCCAATCACTGATAATAAGACGCACTTGCAACTAAACTAAGTTTACTTACTCGTAATAAAAAAACTTACTCCTGATGACATATATATTGGCGTCATCTGAACCCCAAAGACCACCATCATCAGTGACGTTGAGACGAAAACGATAAAGTCCTTCCTGGAATCCTGACACCGTACACTTTAGCTTATCATGATTGACAATATTCAACTTATTTGGTCCGCTGAAAATTAAGTTCTAAAAACATACAAAAAAGTGCAATTTTCAATGATAACATAGGAGTAATTTTTTTTATTTGGTACAAATAAACTTATAATATGATCTTTTTAAAATGTAGCACACTTCCAACTAGTTCACACAATGAAAAAAAGTGCAAAATAATTTCTTGCTTATCCCTAAAAATTTTACTGTTTAATTTAGATAGTATAATAGCTAGCTTCCAATTTTCAAGTTATAATATATGCAAATAAATCAATCATCACGTTCCTTGGTGTACAACAGTGACAACATTTCTCGAAAAAACCAGATAAAAACAATAATTACTTTTAGTCAAAAATTTTATAACAGGAAAAAAAAGCGTTAAAGACAGAAGAATGAACGCATGCTAAAAGAGAATGCCAAACAGGCTAAACTACCTTCTGTTGACAATTTGAATATTAATTAAATTATGTGAAAATAAGCCTGAAATGCTACCTTAATTGAACCCAGTTATACGATATAACTTGTCCATCATCTTTAACATTGCCATCAAGAACTATTGAATCAGCAGGAAGCTGGACCGTTTGATTTCCACCAGCGTATGGAACTGTACATATAGAAAAGTTTATTTTGAAAACTGGACAGAAAAAATTGTGAAATCAGAAAAAGAGAAATAACGAATTTCAAGTTTTTGTTAATATGAATATATATTTGAAAGCTTAAATTTGTGATCTAAATTCAAAAAACTATGCTACATATAGAAATTTTTCTGAAAAACACTAAAGACAATAGTCTGTAGGTATCATATATAAGTATCTTTTCATATTAACCAATTATTCTAAGTATCAAGAGATATCTCTTATCTACATACTACTAATACTTTTTAAGATGCAAACGAAAAAATCAAGAATCAATTAGTAATAAATACAGTAAATCGCAAAAAAAACTATACTTGGAACTGCATTGACCGCTTTATTAACTAAAATATTGATAGTTGTTGAGTCATTTTGCCCTTTGCTATCTATAACTTCAAGCCGAAAAACATAAGGTCCAACTTTATCATTTGCTTGCAGATTTGTGATGGAAAGAAAAGGGGTTGAAGAGCCTAAAAACAAAAAAAGAAGCATTACATAGCAAGAAATATAAAAGTTGTCAATGACTTCCAAAAAAATATTCATGTGAGAAAACTTATAACATCTACTTTAAAGTAACAAGTAAAAAATCGCATATCAGCATGTTTTCATGTGTTAAAATGAAAACAATTCCTAGTAAATCTACAAATAATGTAGATTTTTCGGAAAAGTGGAAAATTCAAAAAATATGTATGACAAAATACAAGAGAAACAGTAACCTGTAAAATCTACAGAAAGTTTAGATGTATAGTTATCAACCCGAAACCATTTGTATATCGTAATACCCTACAACCAAAAATTATGATGTAGATAAAATAAAGTGCCTCTGTAATGTAATCAAACTTTGAAAATGAATTTAATCTACAGATACTATTATTATGATTTAAAACCTCAAAGTTACGGTAACAATCAAATAAACCAGTTTAAGTAAAAGAATCACATAGTTGCCAATAATACATTTTAATCAACTAAAGATAAAACTTAAACCATCTTATTTCAATAGAGAAAAAGACCATACATTATCATCTGAAGAAGAATTAGCACACAACTGAAGATTGTTTTGTGGAAGACGAACATCTACAGCAGAGCGGCTTACTGGATCGCCACAAACAGTAATTGCAGCTTTTGGAGGATCATCTCTTTCTGCAAAACTTGTAAAATTCAACAATATTGTAAGACAAAAGTAAGAAAATTGGAATGAAACCAATCAACACAAATCAGCACAAAACAAAGTAACATCTATGAGTTTTTTTTTTCTCTTTTCATACAACATTTTATAATTTTGAAGTTGTGTAATGAGCACAAACTAAAATCTAAACTCTCAAAACTGCTTCTAAAATTAGAAATGTTTTCAGTACATAATTATCTAAAAATACAAAACTTCAGATTTTATAATCTGAAATTTGAAAAGGAAACGTACATAATACCAAAATGACATAAAAACTAACTAGCGGAAACAATAACTTCTGCATGTTTCTCATTCATTGCACCCAACTGATCTTTTACCATTAAGCTTTAATTTAGCAATAGTTAAGAACACTCTCGACAAATTCAAAACAAATTAGTAAAAAATGACTAGGGAATTTTCCAATGAATTGCATCAGTCAGGACTGAAAGATTTTGAACATTTTCAAAAACTAAAATGTTCAGAGTCTAGAAATTTAGCTGTGTCCAAGTGTTCAGAATTTATCGTTTTGTTAAAATTATTTTTGAAAAACTTAAATATATTACCCAAAAGTATAGTTGCCCGTAATAAGATTATCAAGACGCAGTACAGCTGTATTCAAAGCAGGTAACGGAATAGCAGGACCATTAAGTAGCTTCCATTCAAACTGCAAGGGTTGACCACTATCATCCGAACTACCTAAATCAGCACTTTTTACTTACTCTAGCTTATAAATTATACATTATATTTTTATAGATGAACAAAGCGAAGAGTACTTTCTTAAAATCTTTACCGATTACGATTACTGCATTTTTGAAGAATCAGAATTCAAGTTTTTCAATTTATTTCTATGCTGTTTTCATAGCAACAGAAACATCAAGTACTTCTAAGAAAGCTCTTACTGCAATACTACATTTTGGAAATCTAAACAAGTACTTACACTTCCTTTATATATGAAGTCTTAATAATCTAATCACGAAATTTCTAATTTCTTACATATTGAAATTTTTTTTAGGATTAGCAACAAAATCTAAATACCTTCAGCATCAAGAATTAGATGACTGCCTTCATTTACATGAATTGGACTGGAAGGACGTATTAAAGCCGTAGGTGGTTTATTGACACGTTTTTCAGAGAGAACCGTCACAGTCCTATCTTTGAAATTTTTGCTCACTGAATTCGAAACAGTAACACGTAACCGCATCGTACCCTCTTTCAGCTAAACAACTAGATATTAACAGAAAATAGAACACATAAAAGTCAAGAAAAATGAACAATTATGAATTACTTTCGATCCACTTTTGGCGTAATATTACATAAATTTATTTTTAGTTATAAAGAACCAGAAATTTTCACTGAGAAAACGTACGTCAGTAATTGTAAGATTTGGTTCAGTATAGGTTTTGGCTGTACCAAAACCACCTCCATCCAACACCTCCCAATAATATGTATAATTTGCATAAAGCTCTAAAAATTTTCTGTAGGATTTTTAAGACTTCAAATAAAGACACTCTGAAATACTAAAGATAGATGTTTCAAATTTGCACGTCCAAAAAAACAATTAAAATAGCATAAATAATCTGATTTAAAAGTACACACTCTATCTATCGGTTTGATCAAATTTCACCAAAAATTTGAACACGAAAAATGTAAACAGACCGCAACAAAATGAAGTAAAATAAACTTATAGATTTCTCCAGTATTATTCTAAACTATAAACATCACTATTTGGAAATATGAAACAATATTTTTGCTCTTTTTACTTTTTCACTTTTAAATTAAAATAAACAAATATTATACAACATACCTTCAGGCTCAGCAAATTTAACAGACAACATAATACTGTCATGAGGAAGTTGTACTGTTGTTGGACCAACAATTTCAAATGATGGAATAGAGGGAGGACCATGAGTTACAGCAGACATGCATGAATTATTATTGATACGTACATAACCTAGTTTGCAAATGCATCTTCCAGTAGAAGCCTGTCAAAACAAGTTATAAACTTAATCTGTCAACCTACATCTTCTGATGCTCAATATGTCAAATTAAATAAATATTCTTATCCAATGAAAAACTGGAATTAAAAAGAAAACTTAACATTGAATGCAGATATCTTTATTTTTAAATTTTACTATTAACAAATAATTGCAAATTCTTACTAATAAAGACAAAAAAAGCTAAAAGTTAATGAGAACTTCATAAACAAAGATGCAAATTTACAAATTTACAACTTTTGAAAATAAGTTAACTTACTTCGCACACTTCATTCTCTGCGCATTCACTGTTACACGAAATCCAGTCATTTCCAGTTTCACTCGATGAATTAATAATTTCCTATATAACATTTTGACTAAATATAAGAAGAACAATAAAAGATGATAATGTAAGGTACAGATAAAAATTTATTAAAAAAATTGAGAAATCTTTCAGAAACTTAATGAAGAATACCAACATGGATATGAAATACAAACATACTTCTACATCTCTTTTTCGTGCTCGGTTTTCTCCTAATAAATTAAATGTGATTTCAGCAATATCATTGCCTTGAGCATTATTTATCCAACAGAAGTGCTTGTAACAAGTTATCCAATAAATAGCTTCAACCACTTTGTGATTTGCACTGGTATCATTAGCAAGACTTTCTTCCTTGCACCACAGAATACTTAATTCCTATAAAAATATAGTGTAATTTAGATAATACTTTGGTAAGTTTTTGATAATAATTATTTTTCCACCACATAATTGCATTTAATTAAGCTTTAATTTTGAAAATCACATCTAAATATTTCATGTTAATTCGGTACCAATCTCAAAATTTTAATTTTAAACGGATTCTGAAATAGAAAGTAATTATTGCATATATTCATAAACTAAACTTAAACTTTATTATGTAAACACAAACTTATCTAACACTGGAATACAAATACAGAGCACAGCACTTTTGGAGCAATATATGAAGTTATTAAACTTTGGTAAAAATAAACTTTCGTATATATAAATAAAGCAAACTTACCTTTCTTAGAAAGAAAATGCTATCCCTGAGACTTGCATTCTCTGCAGCTGACAAAGTGACAATAATAAATAAAGATATCAGATGCATCAAATTTTCACTACACTGTTGCTCTGAATCGGTTATAACTAAACTGGCACTGTCTAAACAATAAGCAATATTGATATGACCAATTTTTAGCAAAATAAGCAATCCATCACTATGCAACCAAAGTACGAAACGCAGGGAAGTACTGACTACAATTAGGATCTGTATCAACCACTGAAATAATCAGTACAGAATATTTGGATCTTTCCATAAATATGGCTTCTCCATGAAAGGCTTGGATATCATGAAATAAAAATTCCATATATTGAAATAATTCAAAAATCCAATAAACAAAGCAGTTAAATATCTCTTTGTAGAATATTCTTTAATAAAACCCGTAACCATGAACTTACTATCCGTATGATAAAAACAACCCATTAAAAATTTCTTAGCAACTATTTCCTAATATGAAATTTATGATCACAGTCATTATTGTTTACTTGCATATTTAGTCATCAAAAACCTACTAAGATTATATGATTGTGCGATACACGGTAATACAACATTTGTTCAAGACTTTCCAAAACTTTTAGATGAAAGAAACATTTATTGCATTAAACTTGTCAAGAAGCACTAACAATAAGATTAGCAATTCTCTACAATAATCCAAACATTTTCTGCTTCGAAAACACTTTTCGCAGTCACTCACTTTCTCCCACTTTAAAATTCAAAAATTCAACGCAACTTTCAGCGACAAGATTAACGCAGTGATCTTTCTTCCAATGAGCATTTATTTCATTCGGCATACTAATTATTACACATCTTTCTTTTTTAATGCATAAATGCATCAAAGAATAAGTAAGCAAACAGTAATGAATTATAATGGCTTTTGAGAAAATCTTATATTCCTAATTATATAATCATTATTAATTACAGAAAAATCATCTTCAATTTTCTCGCGCTGATTCAATCGTTGCTCAAGATGACGAAACAAATCAAATAACTGTACCTAAAATATTTAAAAAGAATGAAAAAGACTGAAAAAAATATAGCTTATTTAACACTGCCATTCTAACTTAAGAACAGTTTGATAACAATTAATACATATTTTTTTCAGTAATTAAAACAAGGTATACTTAAAATCTTTATCTTCGAAAAATTTAACATTAGCTGGATGAAAAACAAATTACAAAATTTCAGACTAGTAACAAATATTGAACCATTGCTGATGAACAACTAGCGGCATTTCGGATTGTACTGTGGCATTTCTCATCCCAGATAAAACGTTGTGAATGGCTGTCAATTAAAACTCCCATTAATTTCAGCACCTGGAACATATCATTTAATGGCACATCAACCAATTTTAATCTAAAAATTTAACCTGAAATCAAACAGCGCTTCCGATAAAAACCATCAAACAAAAAACCTGGACTTAACTAAACTTATTTTAACTTATGCTGAAAAAATATCAAAGCAAACCGATACTTTATCAAATAATCCTTCATGGTCTTTGTCATAACATAAAGAAATCAATCTCTGAATGAGTACAGCAACTTCAGTTTCGTTCAAGTTTACCGAGACAGCATGTCGTAACCCACAGCTATTAATAGGCTTTTCTAGTAGAAGTAGAAGCACGCTGAAATTTCCAGACGCACATCTGAAACACATTTCTTTCCTTTGCATTACTTGTAAAGAACCTGTATTATTAACCACCTTTATCACACATCAAATTTGAAAATAGTGTAGTGTAGGAATTTTTTTAGGTAATCAAATTATAAATACGACATTACAAAATATTCATACAATTAATATTTGATAGAACGTACTCTTCAGAAGCTATTTTGAGGAATGATGCAAATGATTGATCATCTAAAATTAATGACGAGCGCAAAAAATTTACCGCATGAGAAATCAAATTCTTACTAGCCAACAATTCAATAAGCTTAGAGCTCGCCCTGTAAATACGGAAACCTTAAACTTATAGGCATATATCAGAAAAAGCCCAAAACGAAAAAATCCGAGGAAATGACAGGAGCGTTGTCCCAATTCATATCACATATAAACAAATTTGATATAGTAGAATACTAGCTAAAAACAGAAAACTCCAAATATATAAAACTAGCACAATCGTACACCAATTTTTTTTGCACCATTTTACAAATTTTTAAGCTCTTACTTGGAAGTTATGTCGTCCAAACTTTAGGACGAAAGATGCACTAACAAGTGATAAGAAATATTTTAAATTACGAACCAAAAGAACAAAATAACCTGGATGTAGTTATTAATCTTGAATGGATAAAGAACGTAAGTACTCTATCGAAATGTTTTTCGTCAACATGTTTGCGTAAGAGTTTTACTAAAGCCATTTGCATATGTGCTGAAAGAGTTATGGACAAGAATGGAGATGTAGTAACAATTCGTTTTTTGGAGAGCCTTGACAAATCAGCCCAAATGGTATCCAAATCCTATAATTTCACACGATGGTCCACTAAGTCCTTAGCACGGTAATAACTTCACACATATAATTTATATTTTCTAAACTATGAAATAAAAAAAATCAGCGTATAAATACTTCAACCGTGACTACTTATTTCATATGGCTCGGAAAACAATATGAATATACTTTTTTTTCCAAGCAATGAGAAATTTTCTCAGCAAGGTTATCGACAGATTCCGTAACACCCAAAGAGGTAAATGCCGAATAAATTGACGCAGATGAAGCATAATCTTCTGAATTACCGACATATAACGAGTACTTATCTGACTTTATTCTAAAAAGAGCATTTGATAAGTTGAAAATCTTTCAAAAAAAAAACTTTAGCTAACCAATGAAATAGAACTCATCTTTCAGTAAAAGTAACTTTTAAGCATATTAATGAAAAAGGTTAAAAAGTAAAAGTCATTGTAATATATTTTCTTGATTTTTTCGAAAGTATATTACAATGACTTTTGTTCCCAGTTCCGTTTCATAAAGGCATGAAAATATATTACAATGACTTTCTTTCGAGGGAAAAAAGAAAATATGAACTTTGGAATGACATATTTTCACAAAAAATTTACTTTATAGGTATTCGAGCAACGTTCCCAGTTCCCTTCAAAACGATCACTTGATTTTCATCCACTGTAATCTGGAAAAATGCTCTGTGATCAAGGGTTTTTATTTTATACATTTCTTTCTGCTTTAATAGATTCAAATATTGAGAAACGATACTAACTTGGAATATGTCAAAGACTTTTAGAGCAACTTATTTTTTGGTATCACTGAACTTAAGATTAATTTATTTCCCTACTGAATTTGTGTACAAAGAGATTTTGATTAATTTTTGATTGATTTGCTCAAACCATATGGCACAAGCAAAATGATTTTAACTGCTGTTCTTTGGATGAGTCCTTCATGTCAGGTTTCAAAAATCTCCCCATCTCTTTTACTCAAACAGAATTCGATAAAAGAATTCAACACTAGCCCTACAGACACTCCAAGCAATGCTACATCTGAATTTATGCTTCATTTTTCTATTCTAACCGTACCACAGTTAGAAAGAGAAATAAGCATTTGTTGCAATATTAATCTCAAAAAAGATCGAAATACTATATCAGCTTCTGGAATGTTTGCAAGATCGGTGCTTCCCAATATTGTTAGATCTTCAAATTTTGAACAGTTTTGTAATGCAGATCTTTAAATATGGAAAGAAACTACTAATAATATGTGGGCTCACATTTAGCACTACAGACAGAATAATAAAAATTAAGGTTAAATCACTAAATATATATGATGAAAAAAGAAACAGCAACATTTGACTTACATCATTTGGAAGGCATTTTTCAGGCCATAATAACTTTTTCTTTCCGATAACAACATGCTCATTTTTCGAGCACAACTTCAGAGTTAATGTCTTGAGATTTCCTAAAAAAGACATTTTGATCAAGATAATTTTTAATTGCACTCACTACAAAATAATTAACCAGGACATATTCGTAAGATTTAGTATTATCGTAAGAAAATATTCGTAAGGTTTAGTTTATTAGAAATATAACAATATTATTTTATATAACGTGAAATGTATATAATTAAAATATGCCTTCATATTTTGTATCTTCCATTGTAGCTTCTAAATAAACATGATCATTTACGGAATATTTCATTGAGTTTTTCATCTGAAAAACAAATATGTCAACAAACTCGAGCACTTTCATAAATAGTAAATACGCTGATAATACTTCAGTGACAGCAATACCCGAACGAAATTTTTATTATGAATATCAATTCCTTTAAGGTATTCCCATTTAAGATAGTGCTACACGTTCATCACTACTTTTTTATTAATTATAAATTCGATTTTAAACAGTGATAAACATCTCATATATATTATACAGTAATAGCAATTATTCAGAATACAAGCGCTAAATTATTTAATCAATAATATTAATGACGCTAATACGGCACTTTTGTTATACAAATCCATCTGTTTCTACTCATAATTATTGCTTAATTGCTGACAAATTTCCACTGAATTCAAAAAATGCATAACTTGTTCCGATAATCAATTAAAATGAAATGCAAATACTTATCTCAATTTCCACTAATCAGCAGATATGTAAACAAATACAAATACTGCTCGTTAAAATTATGTCATTATTGACAAATATAAAAATCGATATTTACTGCTGAATTATTGACTAAAGTTTTACTCAGAGAATATAATAAAGGTGAATACGGGAATATTCCCGGAATATTAAACAGACAAAATGACGAAAACTAACTGTAATAAACGTTTTGCTTTTTATCCATAACTTTACAGGTTTCAAACACGAACTTTACGAATGCAACACGTTATGCAACTTTAGTCCTGGTCGTTTGAATGCTGTGTATAATTCAAGTATGGATGAAAGTGTATTAGTTTATTTTTACCTATTTTTATGGACAGGAATAGCAGTAAGAGTTATTATCAACAATTACATCACCTCATTATCAAGAAGTAATCCATTGTACTCATGATTACAATAACTGATATCAAATCGTAGTAATGATATCAGTACTACTAGTATTAGCACATACAAATGAATCGAAATTAAATTCGAATATATTATTTGTTGTGTGTTATAATTAATGCCTACTATCAGTACAACCTTTGACCGGTCATTATATTAAGAATAATTATTAACTTTTATTAATCAATCACTTATTATTTAGCATAAATCTTTTCATTCTTATTTCTAATC